ATTGAGTTAACCATAAAGAATGATTAGTATTGGGGGGTCTGAGTGGCTTAGTTGGTTAAGTGTCCAACTCTTTGTTTTGGCTCCATTTTGGCTCCGATCATGATCTCAGGATCCTGATCTCAGGGTCATGAGATTGAGCCCATGTCGGTCTCCATACTCCGTAGTGAGTCTGCTGGAGATTCTCTCCCTCTGCCCCTCCTCCCCAGTCTCTCTCTCCCTCTCTCTCTCTCTCTCTCTCTCTCAAATAATAAATAAATCTTAAAAAAATGAATAGGTTTACAAAGACACATGAGAGTGAGAACATACTGGATATTTTGAGGACATGGGCAAAAGCATAGAGTCTTGGAATGCTCAAATATAATTAAAATGGAAATTTTTTAAGAATGCAAATATATCTATCTGATCAAGGTCCTATTAATAACTGATAGAAGAACTACTATGATGTTTCTTTTTCATTCTAATGCAAATATGACTTTTCTGATTATCTTTCCCTTTACATGTTTGAGAAAAAAGGAGGTAGCATAGGTAGAACAATGATTCTACTTGATCATATAATAAGGTTCCCCAAGGAAGACTTCTCTCCCAGAATAACTAGATTCTTCCTTATTGCTGGTCCCTGGCCTCTGGCAAGTTCTTTCTCTTCCAGGTGGCTAAACATTAGGATGTGTCCTTTCTAGTCTCCACACCAATATCTAAATTGGCTGCTAAGAACAGGAATGCTATCCAAAACTTGAAAGATTATTGGTTAAACCCATATATATTTTTAACAAAAAGCAACACCCTTTGGATTTCAGGACACACAAAAAAATTAATGGGTGCTAGTATTAGGATAGCAGTAAAAATTTCATAGAGGAATTCATGAAAGGATGATCTATGGGTTGAAGGAGGTTGAAGACAATTATAAATTGGAGCTCATTCAGATCCTAATGGAGGGTTAGAATTTGGAGAGCCATTGGCCTTCCACCAAAAAGCAATAAAGAAATTGCCACAATCTTTGGAAGTGGATTCTAAAGACCGAGAAGAGCAGCCGCTTGTCTCCAAATTCACAAAATGCAAAACTGAGAAAAGACTCACTATCCGTCTCAAACCAGGTGACTCAATTGCTTCCTCAGTCACAACAGATGAGAGTTTTAAATTTTGCCTCCACTTGGCTCATAGGATTATTTATTATTTATGGAGTGCGTTTTACTAATATAAAATTAATTAGTAAATGTTCAGAAAGCACTTTGAAGAGGAGGAGTTATATGAGTGCTAAGTATTATCATTATCATAAAACACATAAAAGTCACAGAATGATGTAAGCTACGTAGGTGGAGAAGGACTGTGCCACATGGCACTCAAGGAGAATATGGCAAAGGGAGAGGCTCCTCAGGGACAGCGTGCATGGGCACCCCTGAAGAACAGGTAGGCTGACGGCGGGTGGGGGGCAGGAGGCCTTACCCTTGCTCCTCAGGGAAAGTCTCTGAAGGGATCAAACTAGTTAATTTCATTTGTATTTTAAAATTCTTAAAGTAATGATTTTTATAAATATAAGAGCAATATAGGGAGCCTGGGTGGTTCAGTTAGTTGAGCGCTGCCTTATGGCTCAGGCATGATCCTGGAGTCCTGGGGATCGAGCCCTGCGTAGGGCTCCCTGCTCAGTGGGGAGTCTGCTTCTCCCTCTGACCCACTTGTGCTCTCTCTCCCTCACACTCTCCCTCAAATAAATAAATAAAAATATTTTTTAAAAAATAGGAGCAATATATATCCCAAATAAAAGAAAAATAAGAATGAACAAGATTGATAAATTTTAATCATTAGAATCTGTTTTGCTTGTTAATTTTTGTGAGAAATCTTTCCAGCAAAATTAAAGCATTCATGAAAAGTATGTTGAAACTGCTGAAGTAAAATTGGGGAATTTTACTTTTAAAAAGAATTTTTTTATTAAAAGAATACAAGATAGTTTGTATGTATCTATTTCTAATGATGTATGCTGACAATAGAGACATTAATATTTATGTTCACAATATGCTATTTTACCTTTAGGATGTGGTAGATGGAAGTTTAAGTCTTAATTTTTAATAATTGAAACATCAAAATGTTTCACTGCTAGACATTTTTAGTGGTGTGATTTAAAATTTTAGTTGGAAAAAAATATTTGTGAAAAGGAAAAATAATTAAATAAAAAATAATAAAGTTTTAGTTGGAAACAAGAATAGGGGATTTCATTTCTTCCCATTAGCTGTGCCATATGCTCAGATAGCAGTTGGCCTGAAAGTCAAACAAATGTGCTGACTTGTTCCATGGTACACACAGATGAACAAATACTTTTTATGTTTTGATTCGTAAGCTAATCAAATTAAGACAAAGATAAATGTTCACATACACATGACAGTGTTTCCTAGCACTCCAAAAAATCAATACCTTGATAAACCCACTGAGTCTGGCTTGTATTTTTAATAAAATCCTCAGACAACTTTTCTGGTTGCCATATCTTGACAACATCTAGATTCTAGGGGAACAGTTTAATATATTGTGCAGAATGTAACTTCACAATAAACAGCTTTAATAATCAGTCACTTTACATATTCACATTAACATTTAGCTTAATTAGCTATAAGAGAATCCCAGAAATGTTTTCCAAATTGCTACTGTTAATCCTAATGAATTAACAAAAGTCTAGTAAAAATGTTTTATCTTGGCTCTAATGTGTTTTATGTCCATGTTAATTCAATCAACTCCTTGTGCTCCATAAACAGTATGTGAGAAATAATATGTAGATAGACTCTGGTTTCATCCATTTAAAGAATTAATAAAAAGTACAACTCATCAGAAAGCCACTTTTTCTGAAATTGCTAAATAATCCTCAATATCATTACCATTTCATTACTGCACCTGAATAGCTTCAGGATATACTTGGTGAATAAATAAAACAATTAGAAAAAATTAAGGCATGTTACTGAAATCAAAACAAGTTTTTCTATTGCTCATGTTAACTACACAAAAGACCCAATTTCTGTCAAATAAGTCTATTTTCAACCAACATTCTACATAATAATACCTTGGGAGAATGGAATTTGTATGTCTGGCATTGTTTTTAGAGGAGTACTTAAAAGAACTGGATATTGACAAAGTTTAATTTTCCTTTTGGATTCAGGAATACACACACATACACATGCATGTGCACGCACACATGCATGCACATGCACACACACACAGGGGAAACTACCTTCCAAATCAATAAAACCCTTTGCAAATAGGAAGAACATCTGCATCTTAGAAAACTCAGGTAAGAATGACAGAAACACTTAGTTCATTTGCCTTTAAAATTAATTTTTATTCATTAACCAAAATTTTACATTTGTGAATCAAGATAGTAGTCACGGTAGTGATCTCAGATTCTGGCTGTAAGATAAGTGAGAGTTACATGTTAGAGTGGCCTATACAATTTAATTTTCCTTCTAGAGATCAGAAAAGAATCCTAATCCTAACTCTAACCCTAACTATGCTGATAATAACCAAAGGACAAATCTCTACCTAGAATGCTTACCTTCCCTAGGTTTGAAAGTCCTGAAGAGAAAATATTGTTCTACATATCCTCTTAAAATTAGGAAACCAGAATGGGTGATTTGCAAAGTCCCTTCCAGTTCCAAGAGGCTATGTGTCTCTCATTTTAGGAACTTTACACGGGAAGATTGAAGTCAATCTCCCTATTAAACAAATTCTTGTTTACAAGAATCACTTTTATATCAGCTTATGACAAGAGGAAACAATAAATAAATTGTCCCTGTGTTCCTATAGGGTGAATTATTATAAAATTACCAATATTCAAGTTTTTAAACCTACAAAACCAGCATTTTTTAGATAGATCTATTAGAAGGACACAGTTGAGATGAATAAAAAATATACTCCAAGATTTTGCCACCAATTTCATACTCTAATCATCATGTTTTCATTGAGGCTTATTCCATGGCAAGCTGTATTGAGTAAAATATACAGGCATACATATATGGGAGTGGAAGAGGCTGCTTTAGGATAACAGGATTGTAAGTTACCAGGGTTTTACTATATAAATTAGTCATTTATTTTTTCCCTCAAATTTTAAACACTCTTCTAGACTCATTGAGTTGGTCAGATTGTAGATATTTAGAGGAAAACACTTGTCATAGTGAAGTGACTTTCAGGGATTTTTATTTTATTTTATTTATTTTTTTTTTAAGATTTTATTTATTTATTTAACAGAGAGAGAGAGCACAAGTAGGCAGAGCACAAGCAGAGGCAGAGGGAGGAGCAGGCTCTCCCCTGAGCAGGGAGCCTGATGTGGGGCTCTATCCCAGGACCCTGGGATCATGACCTGAGCCGAAGGCAACGGCTTAACCGACTGAGCCACTCAGGTGCCCCGGGATTTTTATTTTATTATGAACGAAAAATGTTCATTGGCATCATACTTCCATAGAAATATTAAGATATTAATTTTTATGTGCAAGGTGAAAACATAATTTGGAATATATTTAAATGGTCAAAGTGGTTTTTAAGTAAAATGAAATTTCTAAAAACATAAGACTTGAAAATTTCACCTGCATTGAATATCTAATTAATGTTAGCTCTTTAGGGAGTATCATCTATTCAGGGAATGACTATTAAGCAATGAAAAGTAAATTTTTTATAGGTACTTGATTCTATTTTCAAACAAAAATCAAATAAATGTAGGTATTTCAAACTAATCAATATTTAGTATGGTCATTTCAACATATATTGATATGGATATATCAAGCATACATACACACAAGCATACAAGCATACATGGAGTATTGTACATATGGGTATATTATATATAAAATGTAAAATATATAATATCAAGTATATAATATAATCCAAAAATATGTTACTGACTGAATTGTGTCCCCTCAAAATTCATATGTCAAAATCCTAACCCCTAGTAACCTCAGAATCTGACTGTATTTGGAGATAGGGTCTCTAGAGAGGTAATTAAATTATGGGAAGTCATTAAGGTGGGCCCAATGCAGTGTGGCCGATGTCCTTATAAGAAGAGGAAATTTGGACACAGATGTACACAAAGGGAAGGCCATGTGAAAACTATGGCCATATACAAACCAAGGAGGGAAACCTCAGGAGAAACCAATCCTGCCAACGCCTTGATCTCAGCCTTCTGGCCTCAAGAACTGTGAGAAAATAAATGTGTTGTGTTGTCTAAGCCAGAAAAAAAGAAAGAAAGAAAATTAGGACACAGATATGTACAGAGGGAAGATGATGTGAAGACATAAGGAGGAAAAACAGTCATCTGTAAGCCAGGGAGAGAGGCCTCAGAAGAAACCAAACCTGCCAACACCTTTATCTCAGCCTTCTGGCCTCCAGAACTGTGAGAAAATGAATTTCTGTTGTTGACGCCACCCAGTCTGTGGTACTTGGTTATGGCAGCCCAAACTAGTACTACCAGGATACTTGCAAATAAGTATAATAATATAGTATATAAGTATATAAAACAAAACTAATATTTTACCGTTCTTGTAGTCTACATTTATCAGTGATCTTGTTCATCACTGTATACCCCTTGCCTAGCACAATGTCTTACACATAGAAAATGCTTAATAAACATGAATACAATAAATTACTTAACTTGTAAAGAGGCATTTCTTCCACCCACATTTTGTGTGCTGCAAAGAAAAACATTAAACTATATTGAAACATAAATACTTTGGATTAAAGTTGCCTCCCAATTCATAAAAAATATGATAGTTTATTCTAAAAGCTTTTATTATTGTTATTCTCTTATCCTATCCAACTACTGTTTCCAAACTGTGTATGTCATCCCATGCCTCTAACAATCCCATGAGTCTATGAATAATGATGAATAATCTCCCAGAGTTTCTTAAAGATGTTTTGATTAAGGTACTTGAAAGGCAGAGTTGAGCCCTAAAATACTCATAATTACACGAAATGTAAATTGTCTAAATACACCTGTAAAAGACAGATATTAACAAAATGGATTTAAAAATACAACCCAACTATATGTTGTCTACAAGAAACTCACTTCAAATAACAATATAGTTCATTTACAACTGCACCAAAAATAATAAGATACCTAGGAATAAACTTCACCAAGGAGGTGAAAGACCCATACTCTGAAAACTATAAAACATCAATCAATGAAAGAAATCAAAGATGACACAAAGAAATGGAAAGATACTAAGTTCTCATGGGTTTGGAGAACAAATAATGTTAAAATGTCCATACCACTCAAAGCAATCTACAGATTTAATGCAATCCCTATCAAAACACCAACAGCATTTTTCACAAAACCAGAACAAATAATCCTAAAATTTGTAAGGAAACAAAAAGAACCTGAATAACCAAAGCAATCTTGAGAAAGAAGAACAAAACTGGAAGTGTCATAATCCCAGATTTCAAAAGTATTACAAAGCTGTAGTAATCAAAATATTATGGGACTGGCACAAAAATATACACATAGATCAATAGAACAGAATAGAGAGCCCAGAAATAAAGCCACAATTATATTGTCAATTAATCTTTGACAAAGGAAGCAAGAATATCCAATGGGAAAAAGACAGTCTCTTCAGCAAATGGTGTTGGGAAAACTGGACAGCTACATCCAAGAGAATAAAACTGGACCACTTTCTTATACCATACACAAAATAAACTCAAAATGAATTAAGGACCTAAATGTGAGACCTGAAACCATAAAAATCCTTGAAGAGAGCATAAGCAGTAATGTCTCTGACATCGGCCATAGCAACTTTTTTCTAGATAAGTCCCCTGAGGCAAGGGAAACAAAAGCAAAAATAAACTATCGGGACTACATCGAAATAAAAAGCTTCTGTACAGCAAAGGAAACAATCAACAAAACTAAAAGACAGCCTATGGAATGAGAGAAGATATTTGCAAATGACATCTAAGAAAGAGTTAGTACATTTAACAGCAATTTTTGAAAAAAAATTTTTAAACAGCTATTGATATATGCAACAACCTGAATGAATCACCAGAGAATTTTGCCGAGTGATAAAAAGCAAAATCTAAAAAGTTGCATATTGTAGGATTCCAATTATATAACATTCTTGAAATGACAAAATTATAGAAAAGGAGAAGAGACTAGTGGTTGCCAGGGAGTTAAGGAGGGTAAGGGGACTGAAGGCAAGTAGATGTGGCTATAAACAACAACAACAACATGAGGGACCCTTGTAATGGACATGTTAGGTATTTTGGCCATATCATTATAGATATCCCAATTATGATACTGTGTTATAGTTTTGCAATTTGTTACCATTGGGGGAAACTGAGCAAAATATACCAGAGATCCCTCTGTATTATTTCTTGCAACATATGAGTCTAATTGTCACAAAATAAAAAACATTTAATTAAAAAATTTTGAAACACAAATACACAAACTTATTCTCTTCCTCTGAGGTGGAGTATCCTGTAAGATAACTGAACCAGAGCCTTTAATAAATTAATGTCATGAAAAATTTTAAAATGAGGGCAGAGTATTGAAGCTGTTCTAGATTTGAAAAGATAAGAAGTATAGTAACCAAATGCAATGTGAAGATTTTGATTTGACTTTTGTTCAACAACAAAAAAAAATTGTAGAAGACAATTGAGGACAACTATAGATATTTGAATATGAACTTGGTGATAGAGGCTGTTCAGGAATTATTGGTAATTTCGTTAGGTATTACAATGGTCATATTTTTTTAATATTCTTATTTTTTAGAGGGGAAATAAAATATTTAAGGGTGAATGTCATGATGCAATTATTTTTCTGCAACTACTTTAAAATGTTCCAGAAAAATAGATGAAATATTATAAGGTGTTCACAGTTCTTAAATTTGTGTGATGGATATATGGAGGTTTATTAAACTATTATCTTATAAAATTTCTCTTGATCCCATTCCTTCACCATGTATAGTTCCATTTCTTTATTACCTTTTTTCAGCAAAATCTTTGAAAGAATGGTCAGTGGTCACTGTCTCTGGTCCCTCTACATCCATTCTCTTTGAAACCATCTCTAACCATTCTCTTCCCCTGCCACTCCTAAAACTTCTTGCATCAAGATCATTAGTTACCTCTATAATGCTAATCCAATGGTCAATTTTCAATGCTCATTTGCTTATCTTGAGCTATCAGCAACATTTGACACAGTTGTTTCCCTTCCTTATCCCTGATACACTTCTATCGGTTTCCAGGACACTACTTTCTCTTGCCTTTCCTCCAACCTTTGCTAGTTGCTCCCTCTGTCTTCTTTGCTTGGTCTTCCTCTTCTTCCTAATCTCTTAATATGGGAGTGCTCCAGTGACCATATCCTGGTCTTCTCTATCTATACTTACTCCTCTGAGAATCTCTTCTAGTCTCAGATCCTAATCTATATATTGAAGAATGCAAAATTTATATTACTATCCCAGACTCTATCCTACCAATTCTATACTTAAAACATATCCCAATTCAAACATTTTTCATTTCCTCCACCTCTACCACTCTGGTCCAAATCAACATCATCTTGTGCTTGAATTGTTATAATCATTTCCTATCTTGTGGTTCTGCTTCCACCCTTGCCCTCTATAATTTACTTTCCACAAAGCAGTCAGGGAGATCCCATTAAGAAATGAGATCAGATCATCATAGTGTTCTGCCCAAAGCCCCCTAAAAATCACATTTCACTCAGAGAAAAAGCCAAAATTATTACAATGACCCACAGAGCCCTGTATGACCAAGGCCTTGGTACCTCTCATAATTACTCCCTCATTACTGTTTTCCTCATTCACTGCTTCAGTCACACTGCCCTCCTAACATGCCCTTCTAGGCATACCTCTCCCTCATGGCCTTTGTGGAGTTGTTCCTTCTGCCTGTAACATCCCAGATACCTGTATGGCCAACAACATCTTCTGTTTCAAGTCCCTCAGATTTTACCTTCTCAGGAGGCCTAACCTGACTGCTCTATTTAATATCATATCCTGCCACCATCATCTCACACACACTCCCACATTTCTGATCTTTACCTAGCTCTACTTTTCCTATAGTACCTAAGATCTTTTTACCAGTTATATATCTTATTTATTAATTATATATATCTATATATATTATTATTTATTCATTATACCTTATATTATATTTCCCCTCAGTAAAATGTAATATCCATAAGGAAAGAGATCTTTGTTCCTACTACTGTACCTAGTCCATAGTAGAACATCCACAAGTGTTTGCTAAATGAATGAATTTTGGTTTTAGTATTACCATTATTATTCATATGTGCTGAAAAATAAGCAGACCAAATATTATATTTACTAGTTCTACATGTTTTCCAAGCTCATCAGTCCAATGAATCCATAATGTAAAATAATCCATTTTATATTTCACATCAAGTCTATATTTATTTCTGAGAGTGTCCTATATCTTGCTCATATTAACACTTGATTTCCTATTCTTTCTGCTCAGAGGGACAGAGTCAAACACAAAAATGAAACTCACAACATGTGGAAAGATTACCCTGGGTATCTTAATGCTGGTTATTGCTGCAGTAATCATTGGACTCATTGTTTATTTTGTCATTTATGGTAAGTACTCATTGTGTCTGACTTTCTAATCACATAGAATTATTGATTCTATTATTGGGAAAATTAAGAATTTTGAGAATGGGGGAAGGAAAGAAGTCAGACAACATTATTTAGCAGAGAGAATTTCTTAAGGTTAATAATACTGATTGCAAACTTCTTTAGTAACCTTTGGCTTAGGGTATTCTAAACCCAGGGATTTGGTGTACTCTTTTTTTAATTCCTGCTAAAGATTTGGGTTCTGGGAATATGTTGATGAATAAACCATAGTTCCTACCTTTGCTGAACTTGTAACTTTTTGAAGAGATAATCAATAAGTTAACAAACAAATATAAAAGCCCAGAATATGGGATTCTAAGCTAAGATTTTTTGTTTCAAAGCCTATAATTTTTTCTTCATGTAATGTTTTCTCCTAATAAAATTCTTCCTAAAAACTAGAATATTTCCTGTTGAAGGATGAAATCTAAAAGGTCAGTACAAATATAAATTTTGTTTATATTTTACATAAAATACAAAAAAATTATGAGTTCCTCAAGATCAATCTTTCTTATAAACAGCACTTTGTGCCAAATTTGCTGTGTGCTGTTTTGTCACTTTCTTTAACCCACTATTTTCTAACCTTTTCAAGAATGAGGGCCTTTTTATAGGAAAAATATATTTCTACATTCCCACAAGAGAATAATTACTTTGTTGAATAAGAAAATAAAATTCTAATATATTTAAGAACTCACTCTTAGAATTACTCATAATAATACCTATTTCCCAGAAATTATAAACTTTAGCAACTTAAAAACTTCTTTAAAAAAATCCCAAATTAAATACTTCTGCATAAGAATAAGTAAGTTTTGTTAATAATGTAAGTTTTCTCAAGTCATAGTAAACCTGTGGGAACAAGACTAGACCCTCCTGAGACTGTGTAAAGTGTTTGATAGGGCTTATCTTTATAAAAGTCATTGGTTTTTCACCTTAAGGCTACATACCTGATGTCACAATATCTTGTATGAACTAAAACATTAAATCAGAAAGACACTTTTAAGAAGTCTACATAGTTGTCACTAAATAAACCAAATCTCAGTCTGATAAACCAAATATTATGCTTTTTATCCAGATGCTTTGGCATCATATAGAGGCAGCCTTATGATGCTCCTCCTTTGAATGAAGCTTTCACTACCATTTGAAGATATTCTAGTTCACTATGCCAGACTCCAAACCTGAAAGCAGTGAGCCATCTCCTCATGATAATTACCCTGTCACATATTTATTATTTAAATAAAGAGGCCAGAAAAACTGAAGCACTGTACAAATATTCACTCCCGGATACCTACCTTTTTCTGCTTCACATGACTCTATATAATGTTCTGTTTTCTATTTGGTTAACTTTTTAAGAGACAGATAAATAGGTAGAAAATAGATCAATAGGAAGGAAGGAAGGAAGGAAGGAAGGAAGGAAGGAAGGAAGGAAGGAAGGCAGGAAGGCAGGAAGGAAGGAAGGTAGGTAGAGGAGGGAGAGAGAGAGAGAGAAAGAAAAAGAAAAAGAAGAAAAAGAAGAAAAAGAAAGAAAGAAAGAGAAAGAAAAGAAAAGAAAAGAAAAGAAAGAATAAAGAAAAGGGGTATCTGAAACTACCCAGATTCAATTCAACAAGCATTCACTGGGTTACTACTATGTATTTAATGGCAGGTAGTAGGCCAGGTGCCATAATGGAGAAATAGCAGTAATGGAGGAAATTTTCTAGAGCATCACACTAGCCTTTTGCTAAAAGTGCTCAGAATCTACAGCAGTCATCACACTTTTCCTGTAAATGGCCAAAAAGTATTTTCCACTTTGGTGGGCCATTATAGTCTCTATTACAACTACTTGAGTCTATTGTTATGAAGAAACTACCAAAAAATACTTGAAACAAATTTGTTAGGCAGGAACCCCAGAGGTGTTCAGAAAGTCCAGAAGTAAATGTCTGCTCATTCTAAAACCATGGCTTTGCAAGAAGAAGAATAGACACTCCCTGACCCAGGAAACATTTACCTGAGAACCTTCCATTTCTGCCCTTTCTGCTTCCTTCTCTAGGTTTCTTCCTTAGGTGAAATTATGTAGAGAAATCACATCTGCATCTTGAGAATGTTCCTCTAATGGCTTCAGTACAGACCCCCAACCTGCTACCACCACAGCCACAGACAGAAGGGCCTTTAAATGGTAGAAAGTCCACCTTTCTGGGTCTTTTGTCTCAGGAGAGATTCGGAAGCAATAAGCTCCTACATGGAGGCCAAACTTTGAGTCTCTTCTTCCTTGTCTTCAGGGACATTCCCTTCCCACAGATGCCCCAAAATTCTGCTGTAGCATGGATAACATAGGCTGCACTGACCCTCCCCCCACCAAACCCATGTAAAACAGACCCTGTTGCCTCCCCTTGAACTAAAGGCTGAACTCAACTCTGAAATATACTCCGGGGACTTCATACTTAACCCTGGCCTCACCTTAGGATCACCAGGAGTACTTAAATAAAACATTGATGTTCCCACCCAGAACAGACAGACTCTGTGGGAAAGGGCACATGTGATGAGAAGTCTTAAAACTCCACATGTGATCCTAATTGGAAACCCATGCTGAGAGCCACTTATTGAAGCCTTGTTTCTCAAGCTTTTAATGTGCTTGAGATAAAAATGATAAAAATCATTTGGATGGATGTTAACTAGACTTACTGTGATGATCATTTCATAATACATACATACATCAAAATCGTTGTGTTGTAAATCTGAAATTAATATATGTCAATTATATCTCAATTTTTTAAAAAAATCACTTGAAATTTTTTTTTAATTTAATAAAAAATATAAAGAGGAGAATCAGTCAGGACATAGTCCTTCTTGGAGCTCTTAATCTTAGCTGAGTGTATCCTGGATTATTTGAAAAGTATGACTCTTCTAGGAAGGAAAAAAACAATGAAAATAACACTTAGAAGAAATCCTAGATCATAAATGTCTTTTGTGGTCAAGGTATAGGTTACATTTGAAGGAGAGGAGGTAATTTTTTATTATGATAGTCTGTGAGTTCCACTGAATGCCAACAAATTCACCACTATACCTTCTTTTTTTTTAAGTTTTTATTTAAATTCCAGTTAGTTAATATACAGTGTTGTTAACTTTTATGCTCATCACAAATGCATTCCTTAATCCCCATCATCTATTTAACCCATCTCCCCACCCACCTCCCCTCTGGTAACCATCAGTTCTCTATAGTTAAGAGTCTGTTTCTTGGTTTGCCTCTCTCTCTTTTTTCCTTTGTTCATTTATTTTCTTTCCTAAATTCCACATATGAGTGAAATCACGCAGCATTTGTTTATATCTGACTGCTTTATTTCACTCAGCAAAATACTCTCTAGCTCCATCCATGTCATTGCAAATGGCAAGATTTCACTCTTTTTTATGGCTGAGTAATATTCCATTGTATGTATATACCATATCTTCTTTACCCATTCATCAGTCAATTGACCATTATACATTCTAATTAAGGGTTGGTGCTCTTATAGAGTTACAGAATTAGACAATGGCTTTCCTCTTTAGTGTTTGAAATTTATTTAGTATTCCAAGAAGTTAATATAACCTAACACTGCCTCGATGTCTGGATTCTCAACCCTAAATATTCTAATAGAAAAATAAGAAGCCATGGAGTATTTATGAATAAAAATATATAACAACAAAAATACTATGTTTCTTTGGAACTTTCTTTTTCCTGCTTTACTGAGACATAATTGACACATAACATTGTGTAAGCTGAAGATGTATAATGAATTGATGTGATACACTTATATTAAAAAATTGTTACCACCATACACATATATTATTTCACATGTTTCATTGTTGGTGTATAGAACAACTGTTTTTTGTGTATTGATTTTGTATCCTCAATTTTACTGAACTTGGTTAGTTCTAACAATTTTTTGCTGGGATCTATAGGATTTTCTCTATATAAGATCACATCATCTGCAAATAATGACAATTTTATTTCTTCCTTTCCAATTTGGATGCCTTTTATTTCTTTCTCTTGACTTATTACTCTGGCTGTGACTTCTAATACTATGTTGAATAGGAGTGATGAGAGTGGGCATCCTTGTCTTATTCCTGACCTTAGAAGAAAAGCTTTTAATCTTTCACCAATACGTATGATGTTGGCTATGATTTGTCACATATGGCTTTTATTATATTGAGATATGTTTCTTCTAGAACCTATGTGTTGCAAGAAAAAATTTAATTTCTGCTGTATTTGATGTATTAAAATAGTATAGTCCAGCTTAACACTCAACTTTTTCCTTTGCTTTACTTTTATACATTTTTTAGTTTAATTTTTTAATTTTACTTACTTAATTTGCAGTACTTACAAGTCATGACTCATTTTACTTTCTCTTTTATTCATTTTCACTTTCTAAGTGCTTTATAAATGATAAAACCTAGGACTCCATTGATTTTCCTAAATGTAATCTGTGATGATCACAAAAACTAAGATAATTACCTATGCTTTAATATAATTTCTCATAGTAACAAAGCTGTCTTCAGATGGCCAAAATTTGAAAGATGGCACATTAAAATTTTACATTAAAAATTCTGAATACACCTTTGGGTAGTGTTATAATTTAATAAACATTGCTCTGTTGAAGTTATTTTAACAATCACTAGGAATCAAGATGATTGAAATGTTGCATTTTTATCAGAATTTATATTTCACTGCAATTTTATCAGAATATTATATTTCACATGATCTTCTTAAGAATGAAAATAATTACAAAATGAATGAAGTGAGAACTATTTTTTCTTTTCTCTCTTTCCAGAGAAGACACCTTTCTACCATCACATCAGCTTTAAAGTCAATAACATTGACTATGACAGCAAGTTTGAAAAACCATATTCACAAGAATATATGGACCTAAATGAAAAAATAGTGTCTTTGGTAAGTTGAAATTTTTGTGCATTGTCCTTTTAAATGTTATGTTCCTAGATGTGCCAGAAATCTAACAATCACCTTTCAAGTTGGAAATGATTGATAATTGCACACTATTTTTTACACTATCTTAGTTCTAGATTAAGATAGCCCTTTCAGAAAGTCAGTTAGAAAACGTGTATGGTGGGGGGAGGAAGGAAAGATGGTGGAGGAGTAGGGGAGTCTATTTCAACTGGTCCCCAGAATTGAGCTGGATATCTACCAGACACTCTGATCACCCACAAAACCAGCCTGAGATGTAAGAAGATCTGGATCTCTACAAACAGAATATCGCAGGCGGTTGGTTTCGAGGTACGAAGCGAGGAGCCGTGATTCTGTGGGCAGATATCAGAGGATAAATGGCAGTGGGAGGGTGCCTGGCCATGGGGATCCTACACCACTGGTGAGTGGCAGCCTCGCATGCTGGGGATGGGGCACAGACTAGCAGACTGGTAGCAGTGGGGAAAGGACTTTAGGGCAGCCCCCAGGGCGGAAACCCAGAGCGACGGGGTCGTGCCTGTGAACTGCACGCACGGGGGTGGAAACCCAGAGAGGCGGGATCAGTGGGCGAACTGGGTGCAGCTGGAGGTTTTAGAAGCACAAAGGGCAGAGACGTGCCCTGACCTGGAGGCAGGACTGGGAGCACTGCGGAGGGGTGCACAACCCAGGACCCTGCAGTTTATAGCAGCATGGACAGAAATGGAGATGGTGTGGCCTGGAGAGCTCACTGAAGAATAGACAGCAATCTCTCTGCTCTGAGGCAGAGGATTGGAAACGGTCTCTTCTGCTCTGACTCGTGGAAAGCCACCAGGGAAAGCCACCAGAGAACAAAAGCCCCAAAAACTGATTCCCCCTGAGCCCATCCCCCGCCACAGAGGGGCAGGGCAACTCTGCCCAAACAGGGTTGCCTGAGTAAGAGCATGGCAGGCCCCTCGCCCAGAAGACAGGCTGGGAAAACAAGAGGCCAGCAGCCCTAAGGTCCCAAGAAAACAGGTGCATCTTGCTTGGGTTCTGGTCAATAATTTGGACTCTATACATTCCTTCAAACACCCATCAACAGAATGACTAGGAGGAGGAACCCCCAAAATAGAAAAGACTCAGAGATTATGGCTTATGCTGCAGATTTACAAATGGATGCAGATATAACCAAGATGTCGGAGATGGAATTCAGGTTAGCAATTGTGAAGACAATGGCTAGAATGGAGAAATCTATTAATGGCAACATAGAGTCTCTAAGGGCAGAAATGAAAGCTGAATTGGCAGAACTTAAAAATGCTATCAATGAGATCCAATCCAATCTAGATAATCTAACAGCTAGGGTAAGTGAGGCAGAAGAACGAATAAGCGACCTGGAAGACAATATAACAGATAAAAAGGGAAAAGAGGAGCCCAGGGAAAAACAACTCAGAATCCATAAAAATAGAATCAGAGAAATAAGTGACACCATGAAGCATTCCAATGTCAGAATAATTGGAATCCCAGACGGAGTGGAGAGAGAGAGAGGACTAGAAGATGTATTTGAGCAAATTGTAGCTGAGAACTTCCCTAATCTGGGGAATGAAACAAACATTTGTGTCCTTGAGGCAGAGAGGACCCCTCCCAAGATCAAGGAAAACAGGCCAACACCCCGGCATGTAATAGTAAAACTTGCAAATCTTAGAACCAAGGAAACCATCTTAAGGGCAGTTAGGGGGAAGAGATTCCTTACGTACAGAGGGAGGAACATCAGAATAATGTCAGACCTATCCACAGAGACCTGGCAAGCCAGAAAGGGCTGTCAAGACATATTCAGGGTACTAAATGAGAAGAACATGCAGCCAAGAAACCTTTATCCAGCAAGGCTGTCATTTAGAATGGATGGAGAGATGCAGAGCTTCCACGACCGGCAGAAACTGAAAGAATATGTGACCACTAAGCTTGCCCTGCAAAAAATATTAAGGGGGGTTCTATAAAAGAAGAAAGACCCCAAGAGTGATATACAACAGAAATTTACAGGGACAATCTATAAAAACAACGTCTTCACAGGCAACATGATGACAATTAATTCATATCTTTCAATAATCACTCTCAACGTGAATGGCCAAAATGCTCCCATAAAATGGCACAGGGTTGCAGATTGGATAAAAAGACAGGACCCATCCATATGCTGCCTACAAGAGACTCATTTTGAACCTAAAGATACATCCAGACTGAAAGTGAAGGGATGGAGATTCATCTTCCATGCCAGCGGACCTCAAAAGAAAGCTGGGGTAGCAACTCTTATACCAAATAAATTAGATTTTAAACTAAAGTCTGTAATAAGAGACACAGAAGGACACTATATCATTCTTCAAGGGTCTATCCAACAAGAAGATCTAACAATTGTAAATATCTAAGCCCCCAACATGGGAGCAGCCATCTACATAAGCCAACTGTTAACCAAAATAAAGAGTCATATTGATAACAATATGTTAATTGTAGGAGACCTCAATACTCCACTCTCAGCAATGGACAGATCATCTAAGCAGAAAATCAACAAGGAAACAAGAGCTTTGAATGATACATTGGACCAGATGGACCTCATAGATATTTACAGAACATTCCACCCTAAAACAACACAATACTCATTCTTCTCAAGCGCACATGGAACTCTCTCCAGAATAGACCACAAAGTGGGTCACAAATCAGGTCTCAACCGATACCAAAAGATTGAGATTATTCCCTGCATATTCTCAGACCACAATGCTTTAAAACTGGAACTCAATCACAAGAAAAAATTTGGCAGAAATTCAAACACTTGGAAGCTAAAGACCACTCTGCTCAAGAATGTTTGGGTCAACCAAGAAATCAAAGAACTTAAACAATTCATGGAAATCAATGAGAACGAAAACACATCGGTCCAAAACCTATGGGATACTGCAAAGGCGGTCCTAAGGGGGAAATACATAGCCATCCAAGCCTCACTCAAAAAAATAGAAAAATCCCGAATTCACCAACTAACTCTACACCTTAAAGAACTAGAGAAAAAGCAACAAACGATGCCTAAGCCACGCATTAGAAGAGAAATAATTAAAATTAGAGCAGAAATCAATAAATTAGGAAACAGAAACACAGTAGTTCAGATCAACGAAACTAGAAGTTGTTTCTTTGAAAGAATTAATAAGATCGATAAACCACTGGCCAGACTTATACAAAAGAAAAGAGAAAGGACCCAAATTAATAAAATTATGAATGAAAGGGGAGAGATCACGACAAACACCAAGGAAATAGAAACAATTATTAGAAATTATTATCAACAATTATATGCCAATAAACTGAGCAATCTGGACGAAATGGAGGCCTTCCTGGAAACCTATAAGCTGCCAAGACTGAAACAGGAAGAAATTGACAACCTGAATAGGCCAATAACCAGTAACGAGATTGAAGCAGTGATCAAAAACCTCCCAAAAACCAAGAGTCCAGGGCCTGATGGATTCCCTGGGGGAATTCTACCAAACATTCAAAGAAGAAATAATACCTATTCTCCTGAAGCTGTTTCAAAAAATAGAAACAGAAGGAAATCTTCCAGACTCATTCTATGAGGCCAGCATTACCTTAATCCCCAAACCAGGCAAAGACCCCATCAAAAAGGAGAATTTCAGACCAATATCCCTGATGAATATGGATTCCAAAATCCTCAACAAAATCCTAGCTAATAGGATCCAACAATACACTAAAAGGATCATCCACCATGACCAAGTGGGATTTATCCCCAGGATTCAAGGGTGGTTCAACATTTGCAAATCAATCAATGCGATAGAACACATTAATAAGAGGAGGGAGAAGAACCATATGGTTCTCTCAATTGATGCAGAAAAAGCATTTGACAAAATACAACATCCTTTCCTGATTAAAACTCTTCAGAGTTTAGGGATAGAGGGAACATTCCTCAAGTTCATAAAATCCATCTACGAAAAACCCATAGCGAATATCATCCTCAATGGGGAAAAGCTGAGAGCCTTTCCCTTAAGATCAGGAACACGTCAAGGATGCCCACTCTCGCCACTATTGTTCAACATAGTACTAGAAGTCCTAGCAGCAGCAATCAGACAACAAAAAGAACTAAAATGTATTCAAATTGGCAAAGAAGAAGTCAAACTCTCTCTTTTCACAGACGACATGATACTTTATGTGGAAAACCCAAAAGACTTCACCCCCAAATTACTAGAACTCATACAGCAATTCAGTAATGTGGCAGGATATAAAATCAATGCACAGAAATCAGTTGCTTTCTTATACACTAACAATGCAACTGTAGAAAGAGAAATTAGAGAAATGATTCCATTTACAATAGCACCAAAAACCATAAGATACCTCGGAATAAACCTAGCCAAGAGGTAAAGGATCTATACTCTAGGAACTACAGAACACTCATGAAAGAAATTGAAGAAGACACACAAAGATGGAAAAATATTCCATGCTCATGGATCGGAAGAATAAACATTGTTAAAATGTCTATGCTACCCAGAGCAATCTATACCTTCAATGCTATCCCGATCAAAATTCCAGTGACATTTTTCAAAGTGCTGGAACAAACCATCCTAAAATTTGTATGGAATCAGAAAAGACCCCGAATCACCAAGGATATGTTGAAAAGAAAAGCAAAGCTGGGGGCATCACGTTGCCCAATTTCAAGCTTGTAATATATTCAAGTAATATATTACAAAGCAGTGATCACCAAGACAGCATGGTACAGGCACAAAAACAGACATATAGACCAATGGAACAGAATAGAGAACCCAGATATGGACCCTCAACTCTATGGTCAAATAATCTTTGACAAAGCAGGAAAAAACATGCAATGGAAAAAAGACAGTCTCTTTAATAAATAGTGCTGGGAAAATTGGACAGCCACATGCAGAAGAATGAAACTCGATCATTCTCTAACACTATTCACAAAGATAAACTCAAAGTGGATGAAAGACCTCAATGTGAGACAGGAATCCATCAAA